GTCATTCAAATGGCTAAGGTCCAACTTGCAGGTGTTCCACTGGTTCCATCCACCACCCTCCGATCCATCTCCAGCACGATAGAACTTTCCTGAAAATTCAGTTTGGCCCTCGCGGCCCTTTTAAAAACTCCATACCTAAAATAAGTGGACTTTGCAATTTTTTACTACAAAAATTAATACTTTAAGGCTTTCGTTTTGAACCTGTATTTTTAAAGATAATTTTCCAATACATTGACAAGTTTTGTCCTTGCGCTGCTATGATTTCTGTGTTTTTTATTTTTAAATAATCGTAACCTATTAAAATTCTTCTTAAAAAAATATCACTCATAAAATTACCTTCTGCTCCTGTATCGATGAGGGCTTCTACTGGTACATCGCCAACCAGGACTTGTATAATTCGGTAACTGTGAGTTTTTTACGATGACCGTATTTAAGTGTCTTCTTGAGGGTTTTTTCAAAACTTCCGGGGTCTGGACCCTCGCTTTTACAGGCCCCTCTACTCGTTTAAAGCTTTCCTTTCAACTTCTGCCTTCTGGGTACGCGGACGGTTTTGTTTTCAAATTTCCTTTTTGGGCCTTGACCTTCGAGCTTCGATGAGTTAGCTTGATAGCTCTTTCCCCCATAAGAGCGGATTTGCATTTCTGGTCTTCTCATTTGAAGATTGCCTTCGGATACTTTGAGAATACGATGCCCCTCTAGCTTTTTCCGCTATTCTGCGATTTTGGAACTTGACCGCCAATTCGAAGAGTTCCTGCAATGTGCTTGGGTTTCTAATTTCGAAGTAGTCTTGAACAGCAGGTAACAATCTTGGTAAGATTATTTCAATAATCTCCGCGTCGGGTTTCTTCCCATACAGCATATCCGTCAGCTTAATTTTTCGCAGAATAAAGTCCGTCAACTCTTCTATATTCCGTTGATAAAAACTATATAGTTCGGCTTCTAGCCTTTCCTTGCTCGATCTTTCACTATGGGGAAGGCCTTTAATAACGATTTTTTGAAATTTTCAAATGTATATGTCTGGCCTCCGAATTCCCCTAATAAAAATTTGCCTATATTCTTCCACCATAGCGCGGCCTGTCCTCTTAGTGCAGATGTGGCGATGGCAACTTTTTGTCTTTCAGGCACAGGGTAGAGCTGGAAGTGATTTTCGAGGCCTTCTAGAAATATCGCCACCGAATTTTTTCCGTCGAAATTGACGTTTGGCTTGATTGACGCTCTCATCGTCTGGACCAGGTATCCAAATCCTTCCAATTGGCTTGCCATTTCTTCTTGTTGTTGTCCAGCAGCTTCCATCCAATTTTCGGCCATTTCAGTTCGACAAGTGTTCGGGCGCCAATGTAATGTTTGCGCGCCCCAACCTGCACGCAACAATAGTGGTGACTGCTATGAAACTGGAAAGTACACAAAGTCTTGAGAAGGGTCTAAATACCTTTTTATTCAACTTTAGAAATTACAGATGCGTGCTCTTGACGCTCACAAACTACGCCGACCCGGCGGTAAAATAAAAATAAGAAACTAAAAATGAATAATAACAAGTGACTAACCTACGAGGCTCTCTAAACGTAACTAACCTAACCGCGTCCTAAGATACCGCTGATAATTCAGCAAACTTCTGAATATTACGTTGAAAGATTTAACTATTTGCCGAGGCAAGCACACAGGCCGAAACGCGCGGTTCTTCTTCAATTTCTAACTAGCCACCTCCACGCTAGTGAAGCAAGAAAGCACACTTTCGAACTCATTTCCCTTCTATTTAACTCAGAATACTTCCGCTGACTATTTTGAATACTTTGCGCGTTCTACTAAAATTTACATACTCTGGCATTGGCGATTCCATGGGAAAGTAAGGCTTGACAGGAAAGATAGTTTAAACTTAAAATAAATGTTAGTTAAAATAAATATAAACCCTACATCCTCGCCGGAATTTGAATCACAGATCTTTCGATTGTTAGCCGTATATGCTACCACTTTCTGTGAGAGACCACGTAGTAGGGAAGGCGAATACTCCTTGTAATCTGTCCTACTCAAAGGGCCTCTGAAGAAGAGGAGATACAATTCCAAAATACTGGTGCTGATGAATAGACTCAGATACAATTACCGTTTATGTATGTGGTGAATGGAAGTAGTGGTCCATTACGTTTTAGTTAAATGCCATTGTAGAGACTTTTACACTAAATTTTGGAGCAAAGCAAATAAGAAATCAACTGGATCTTCGAACCACTGGTCTACCGTTGTTAACAAAATGTGCTACCGCTTACACCCCAAGAGTTCGCAATGGGGAAAGTAAATATTCCTTATAACGGCATAGTAGGGAATAATTTGAATTTTTTATGTTACTCATGTACTTATATTCGTAGCCAGTTAGTATAATAATCTTGGGTTATAAAGTAAATATAAAAGTGTTAAGTAGCATGATTTGCACCGAGTACGAGATACTTTGATCATAGTACAGTAATTAATAATTCTCAGTGTGTACCTCTTAAGTTGTAAAAACTCTTAGGTCTAATAAATTACTAAAACTGTATACTAAATTTCTATATCTTTACATTTATTCAAGGCTAACGGTCTCCCAGTCGCGGTCGAAACGCATGTAGTCATCACCGTTCAATGCGTGCCATCATCACCGTACAGAACTTAATTTTCTTCACCTCACTGTGGATTGTAGTTTAAGTCAATCTTGATTCGCACACTTTTCATGAAGCAAAACGAGCTAAACGGGAATGGAATGAAGAAGTAAAATTAGGCGACTGGAGTCATGTACTACAGGTATCGTTTCCTTGGTTTCGAGATAGGTTGCGCTGTGGAAAATGACTCATTTAAAAATAATAGTTATAACTCCAGTCAGTTTTATTAATTACATATAAGACAGTATTATTAATTACATATAAGACAGTATTATTAATTACATATAAGACAGTATTATTAATTACATATAAGACAGTATTATTAATTACATATAAGACAGTATTATTAATTACATATAAGACATTTAACAAGAACTATTTTGCAAACAATTTAAAAACCTGCAGAGAGAAAGTTAAAATTTTTCTTAAAGGAATGTTATCTGCAGTTTATAGAAACATCGAAACATTCTGCAATTTTATTTCACAGTTTACGAAAATATCTTTCGCGATATTTTATTAGATGTGCTACTAAATATTTCTTAAATATTTAACAATCCGTTACAACTCGATATGTCAAAATATCGAGTTACGAGTATTCTTTCTTACCTAAAATTTACTTTAAATTAATTTTACCACATTGTAAAATCATTAGGTTTTCTTGAGACAGGACACGTGAAAAATGTGCAATTTACTCGCCGGGCCTCAAAATCTAAACCTCTCGAATACTCTTCGAGTTGTAAGTATTGTCCCTTTCTAAACTTTAATTTTAATAAAACTTTATTTTATCATATTGTAGAATTATTAAGGTTTTGGAGAGTAGACGTGAAGAATGTGCAATGTTCTTGCTATAACTCAAATTTTAGACCTCTAGGTCTCTCATATACACGCTTCGAGTATGCTTCCAAATATACCACGAAGGCATGCGAAAAGAAGGGAGAAAATAACTTATATACTCCCTCTTTTAGAGGGTGACTGGGGATTAGGGCACCCAGTGGCCAAATCCTGGTGGTGACGAATTATTGCCTACCACCTCTTAGTTACGGGGCCTCTTGCAGAGTCATTACGTTTTTTTAAAACAGGAGACAGTGTGCAATACCTTCGCCGGGACTCGAACCCTCCTCTAGAATCCTCGGGAAGTATGCTTCCAATCAAAGCGCGAAAGCATGCAAAAAGACACAAAATACATTATAATGTCAGTAGCAAAATACCGTAATAAAAAGGTAGTAGTAATGCCACCAGGCATGACGCGGTATTGGTGATGTCGTCCTTCTGAAAGCACATGTTTAATGATTGCCGGAATCTAAGTATCATGATTGTCCCAGTGGATATACAATACTGCAAGAAATATACACACGCTTAATCTTTATCAGTTAGTATATTAGTACTTTAGGAGATGTTTCCAAATGTCACGTGCTCTGCGGCATCACTTCCATCTGAGTTAGAGCCTCAACAAACCTTTGAAACAACTTTTGAAGCCTTTGAACGTCCCTTCAAAGGTTTGAACAGAAGGGCAAGAAAATATCGATCTTTCAATCGGATTTAGATAGCCTGATAAAATTTTTCCTCTATTACTATAAAAGATGAAATTGCGATTTCAGATTGTAGGAACGTTTGCAAATAGTTAACCGCAGGACATCATTTCGGCTGACGGCGAGATTTTCTGTAAGAGTGACGTTCCTAAAAATGCATCTTTGATAGAGAATCCCCTTTGTCAAAATTTCTCATGCCGTTAATAATATACAGCAACTGAAAATTAATTTTAAGGCTTATATAGCAGAATTTTCTTTATATTATAACGTTGCGCGCCTCCAACTTGCACGCAACCAAGGGTGACTGTGAAAGCTTGTATAAACCACAGAGTCTTGTAAAGGGTTTAAGTCCCTTTTTATTCCACGTAATAAATTACAATTGCGTCCTCTTGACGCTTACAAACTGTGCCCACTTGGCAGTCAAAATAAAAATAATAACCTGAAAAGAAAATAAAGACAAGATTCTAACTACGAGGCTCTCTAAAATAACTAACTCACCGCGTTTTACAATACCGCTGCTAATTCAGCAGACTTGAAGCTCACTGGAACAATTTCCACTACTTCCCGCCAAGCACATAGGCCGCAACGCGGGGTTCTTCAATTCTCGCTAACTACCTCCGCGCTCGCTAAGTAAGAATCTCACTCTCACCGAACTTGTTTCCTTCTATTTAAATCAGAATTCTTCCGCTGATAATTTGAATCCTTGCGCGTTCTACTAAAATTTACATATTCTGGCATTGGCAGTTCCAGGGGAAAGTAAGGCTTGACAGGAAAGATAGTTTAAACTTAAAATAAATGTTAGTTAAAATAAATATAAACCCTACAATATATTTCCTCTGTTTTTCAGGAGGAGGCGAGCAAAAATCCAATGAAACACGACGAATTCGTTGGACTTCAGTCATGTAGAGTAAGTATATTTAAATAAACAGTCTTAATTTCCACATTTATCTTGGTTCAATCAATCTACTCATAGACTCTTATGACCTCTAGGATGTATAATACGTTTCTATAAATATGTTTTATTTCATATTATAAAATATTCCAGATTTTAGTTTTATTTTCTAATTGCTAAACCCAAATGACTGTGCACTTAAGTTAAATTGAGAATAGGATGTTTGATACTTTTATTTAACTTTAAAACGATATTTTGACAAATAGTTATCCTTATCGTATTTTTACCCTGCATAGAATTGGGGAACAAATGTGTAACAATTTCTGAAAAGTTCGATTTTTGAGCTATTCTAGAGTTAAACAGTCACTATTCTAGAGATTAAAACTGTAGTTCGTTTCCAGGTAAACCTCACAACTCAAGAGTATGTGATGACGCTGCGGTAAATCGAGTACATAAAGTTGCGGAAGAAATTCCGGCAAATACAAGTAAAGTTCGTACATCTAAAAAAAAATCTGATGTGTACACCACATGACTTCCTTGTGCGGAATATTAAATTATACGCATTTTTCTTGCATTTCGTTTAAACTTATTGGATTGAATTAAACCTACTTCGCCGACAGTACATAAACTACAATAGGATAAATGAATTCTTTAAAATTCACTTTATTTGTTTACCATAGAGACACTTTGGCGCTAGGTTCACTTAACAGTATTATATTTCGTTCATATTATAACTAAGATTGCACAAAATTTATATCATTTAAAGAATTACATAATCGTTGCCACATGTTCTATTCAAATACTATAATAAAGCTAGAACGATGTATAAAAGAAATTAAGCAAACAAAACAAAAAGGAAACAGTTTTTCAGAGACGATTTAGTATTTCTCATTCAATTAATTAAGTTCTCACTTCGCGACAAGGCAAAAATATATAAAAACTCAAAATATCTGTATCAAAAATTACGAAGTAAAAATTTAAACACTTACTCGAAAAAATTCCAGAAAGGATTAAGCATGATTGAATTCGCAATAATAAATGAAGGCGTTATCTTTGTTGTTGCGAAGCTACGTTTCTCTGAAAAGAGACAATTCGCTAAGTTCAAACTGTATCAATGACAAGACATAAGAAGGATGAAAACTCCCTTTTATCCAATTCAAAAAGGAATTTACAGACGGCTATACTGGTGCTTATAAACTTAGCCAATATTTCTGACTGCAACTCAGAAATATAAAATTAATACTAATTGAAATAATCAGCCGAATCTGCACAGAGATAATTAATGTAAGTTAGCTCTTAGCCCTACCACTGACGTAAACAAACCGGCAATTTCATATGCACGGCCGCAAAATAGCAAGATTAAATCAAGGAAACAACGTGGCGAACCACAGAACACGCTTTGTCTGAAGTAACTCAGACACCAGCTTAAATATTATCTTTCTGCCCTACTTTGCATATCATGGGAAACTGAAATATCATTTTGGCAGGAAATGCAGATGAGGGAAGTTAGAAAAGATTAGTAACTGAACAAAACTGGATAGTTTAAAACTAAATGATTCTTTACAATATATTTTATGTAAAATTATACAACACTTCCTCTACATATGTTTTTGACTTTACTGATATCTTTATCTTTTTGCAGAACTGCTGTCTGCCTAACCTGTCGATGTGTGTCGACAACCCAGATGACTGTTTGTAAAGTATGTTTACATCTGCATCTGTTTATTTGGCATACTTAATCGTATAGCTCCACCAAAAAGAGAATTAATACCATATGTTTTCAGTTATTTTTCTCTGATATTTTAAAACTTAACCTTACTTCCTTACTTATTTAATTTAACGCCATCAGAAATTATTTTATTTTAATTCACCTTCTTATATGCCTCTTAGAGTGAAATATCTTTAATACAAATAAAAATGCAGCATCATAAATACTTAGCTGTTCATCCGAAAAGATTTAAGAATTCATTTGACCAGTCTCAGAAAACTTCAATATCATCTTGTGGTATTTCTTAATCTTCTAGACAATCAACCATTCCGTGTTTATTATTTATCTACGCTGTGAGTTTCAGAATTAAGTTTGCAGAATTAAGTTTCAGAATTAAGTTCAAGTAACCATTATTATAAATCTATATAGCTATTCGCACATTAACAACTGATTCCATTTCAGAACTTGTCTTTTAGAATGTTGAAGTCTCTATTAGGGTTTTTTTAATCTCTTTCAGATTATCAAAGTAATGTGACACATATTTTGATGTATTATATGATTTGACACTTAATTTTAGAAAAAGAGAAAACATTTTACATACACTGACTACCAATAAGTATTTGGACACCTGTGATAGAAAAGAAAAACTAACTTTATTCAAAATCAATAGTTTGTAGAGCCTACACGAGAGGTAATAACAGCGTGGACCCTCCGAGGCATACTTCCCACAAGTCTTTGTATGACAGCTAGTGGTATTTTCTTCCACTCGGCTTGGAGAAGACATAGAAGTTCCTTCACCGATTTTGCACGGGTAGTGCACCCCTGAATTCGGCGATCAACTCGTCCCAGAGGTTCTCGATAGGGTTCAGGTCTGGACTCTGGGCAGGCCAGTCCATTCGATGAGCTCCATTGGCACCATACCAAGCCTTGGTTAACGTCGAAACATGACAACTGGCATTGCCGTCTTGAAAGTAACAGGGGTCCAACCCGTAAAACTGCCACAACGTAGGAAGCACATTGCCATCCAAAATAGTGTAGTAGGCATCGGAGTTGAGCTTACCATGAATGGGGACCAAGGGTCCCAACCCATACCAGGAGAAACACCCCCAGACCATAATTCCACCTCCGCCGAACTTGACTGTTGGCACAATGCATTCTGGCAGGAGACGTTCTCCAGGTAGACGCCAGACCCAGACCCTGCCATCCGAACGATAAAGGGTGAATCTTGATTCGTCACTCCAAAGAACCCGTTTCCGCTGATCTACGGTCCAATTTCGATGTGCTTTGCACCACATTAACCGAGTAGCGCGGTTGGACTTTGTGATCAAAAGCTTATGGGCAGCAGCACGACCATGAAAACCAAGCAGATGTGCTCCCTTACGCATGATATTCATTGAAACAATACTCTCGGATGCCTGTGAAACTCCTCGCGGATGCTGGCCATCGGTTGGGTCCCAGGCAGCACATCTCCAAAAATATACGTATAATATTTTGGTGAAATAAGCGTATGGTATTTTTTGCACGTTACTTTTACGAAATTTATACGAATGAAAGAGGCTGAAGTTACTGTTGACTCTTTATCGTTATTTTCCACACGTTATTTTTACGAAAATTATAGGAATCCGAATGTTCTGAAAGAAACTACTGCCTTTATGGTATATTTCATGCGTCACTTTTACGGATATTATACGAAGTCTAAAAAGATTGAAAATGAAGTTTATTAATTCAAAATATTTAGTGCATTTTTGGCATTTCACTTTGTTTTCCTTTTCCACAAACATGAAAAAAGGGGCATTCATATATGAGACTAAAATTTTTCTATGAATTTTAAAATGTGAGCTAAATCTTTACGTGCATTTTTGCAAAAAATTATATTTTCTTAATTTAAAGATCTTCAAAATAACTTATTTATTTTCTTATATCAAATTTGTTATTTTTATTCATATCAACGCTTACATTAATTTACACAATTTAATTTCTTTTATGAAAATCCTATTACCCATTTAACTGGAATAAGCTGTATATTAAATTTGTGTACTTACTGAGTTTGGTACAATACTCGCCTTATTTTATTTAGCAAATGTGGGCATTTAAATTGGAATAAGACTAGCAAATCTTTCATGTCGAGGAATAGAATAATAAACAGAGCAGAAGATGCTCGAAAATGTTTAACTTATTGAACAATAGTTTAATGTAGACCAAAGGATCATTAATTATAATCAAAGATATACTAATATTTTTATTTAATAATAATAACTCTACGAAATTGCAAGCTGAATCCTGATATTTTGCATATATTTCAGTTCCTTTCATCTTTGTTATAAAAATCACATGAGGCTAACATTTTTTAATTTTATTTAATGTACGGGGACATGATATAGCGATTTTAATAATTTTTATACAAGGAAAAAATAAATAAATAATGTAAATAAATAATTATATTATATTTTTCCTGAAGCAGTTAAAGACATTCTTAATATGGAGATCTACAGAATAAGTACAAGGGTCCAGTTAAATGAACTCAAAATTTCCATAGTTAATTTTAGGCTAACTTATAAAAATTAACCAGATTTACGATTATACACTGAGCATGCGCATACACAGACATTTTTATTTTTCGTAGAAAAATTGAATTATTACCTTAATACAGAGATGCTGTGAATATAAATTTATATAATGCAAAAGTAAGTTTATTTCATATGCTAATTTAGAGGCTTTCTTAATATGTTTAATTATAAAAAAAAAAAAAAAAAAAAAGCGTTGCAATTCTTGTTCACTGACCAATGGCAAAGCAGACACTTTCTACTTCCGGTTGTGGCGGGATATTTGTGAAGTCAGCAATGGCGGTCGAAAAGAATGGTAAAGTCGCAAAGAATACTGTTTGTTCGTGGATTGGCGTTTGTGACTGAATCCATCGATGTTACTAATTATTTGAAGAAAGTAAGTGAATATTTTATATTTTCAGTGTTTAATACTCGTACTTTCTTCACCTATATAAAATTTTATAAATAGCGTCTGTGTAGGAAATGAGGTTTTCCATGTGTTGTTCTTTTGTGTACGTGCCTAATGATTATTTTCAGGATTTGGTACTGTTAATGACATAGAATACCAAATCAATAAATTGAAAAAATTTTGCACTAGTCTGTTTCTTACTGTTTGTGTCTCACCTTTTTATTGTTTGATGGAAAAAGAAAGGCAATATTAACATGACTAATTGTTCAGAAATCTGTTTTGGAAATATTATCTACCTTATGCCAAAAAATAAAGCATGTAACTTTCATTTATTTATGAAATTCAAAATTTTTTATTTGCTTAGTGTTTTCCCTAAAAATAATTTAATTTCTTATTTTTGAATTTAGTTTTATCACAGGTACTTTGTTCCAAATCTGTGTTCATTTTTTATATATATATATACTGAATTTTCATGCACTTGTAATTACTGAAATATATCTTTCATGAATAATAAGTAAGTCCTTTCATGAATGCATTTCTTTTTTGTTTGTTTGATTTTGTTGTTTTAAAAGATCTGCCATAGTTAAAGAAAGAAAATAAAGTAAGAATGCCTTACTTTCAGTTTTGAATAAATTTATTACTATTTACAGCTTCAAGTTTCTCTAAACATAATTTTTGAAATCAAAACTTGATAGTTATGTTGATTATTAGACTTGCATGAAAAAATTTATTGAAAAGTTAGTATTTGATCTAAAATACCTTAAATTATTTGAATTATATTTTTCTAAATCATGCATTTTGATATAACTAGATAGTTAAAAAAATGAAAATTGTAAATGTGCAGAAATGCTTATATAAAACCAAGAAATTGTTTATATTGTTGTTGCTTTTTCCCTTGTAAATTATATATATATATATATATTACAGTCTGGGGAGTCAGCACCCGGCTGAATTGTAGTAAACGAGACGTCCAATCTACTAGACCATCAAAGACGCAGATTTAGATTTTCTATTTCATAGTTATTGAAATCATAATGGTATGTTTGTTTAAATAAAATTTAAATTACTACTGTGTATGAATGTGATAAAAATAAATTCTGATAAGCTAAGAAATGATTTATTTTCTATTAATTACGAACTGTAAATAATGTAACCAATTTTCTTCATATTATTTACTAAATTTTTTTTTTTTTTTAAAGGGAGGTAGTCTTATTTATACAATTCTTGCAGAGATGGCCAAGAAATAAAACATTTCAGGAATTTTCAGTCGGTATATCTTGATGTGTAAAATCCTGTTGTTCAATGCCATATTACTTTTTCACAGGAAAGTATTTTTATTGATCTAACATCTGCATAAATCAAACTTAAGAGTGATTACAGTTTCTAAGCTAACTTAAAATTTTCAGATTTAGAAAATATATGTTTAATGTAGCATTAGTTTTCAATGAAATAGAAAAGGTTTTAAAAATGTTCAGTTGTTAGAGGGAAATAATATAAATGAGATAGTCCTAATATAGTAGTTTCAGCTGGAAATGAAACTGAATTTTCGGATAGTGAAGATTTCATTTGAGAATTCTAATAAAACTGATTAATGTAAATCCTATGATTCATGTAGGTATTCTTCTGTTATCAGGACCAGATTCAGAAATGTGTGTTTATATGCATGCATTTTTAAATGTAGGTGCTCGTGTGTGCATGTGTATATTCTTTATGTATGTATGTGTATACTTATACACATATATGCGCATACATGCATATACACATGCTTACATATCTACAGTGGAACCTCGAGATGCGAGTTTAATTCATTCCAGCATTCAAGTGCTATAGCGAATTTCTCGTTCTAGAAACAAGCTTCCCCAATGAAAATAATGGAAATTCAGTTAACCCGTTCCACACCCCAAAAAAATATCAACATTTTAATATTAAGTCAATTTTTCCTAATAAATAACACTGGTAAATAACATAACCATACTTTAACTTTGTTACCAACATTTTAACTCCTTCTCATTAATCCACACCAACAACAGCTTCTCAACATCTAGGAGTACTTTTATGGT